TGTGAAGTATAGCACAAGGTCACTTGGTTGGATGTCCCATGAAAGATTTTGATTCTGATTTCAAATTTGGAAAAGGCCTGTTCCAAGCAGTAGAGGGCCACATACCATTCTTGTGCTTATAGTTCTAATATACAGCAAAACTGTCACCCACAAAGTGATGGTTTCAGACCTATGAGAAGCAAATCAGCAAGGAGTCTGTAAGGCAATCTGAGCTTTAGGGCAACATTTGTCCACTAATAAATAGTTTTAAAATTTTAGAAAATATAAGTGTGGTCAAAGTATGATAATAAGTCATAATCTCCCCCATCCTACCTGATCCTAAATCCTGTTTATTATTATATTTCTTACCCTGGAAGAGTTTGAAGTAGCTTCTTGTCTTCCACCCTTACCATATCACAATGACTATTTCTCATTTGTCTATTTGTCTATTCTCATTTGTTCTCTGCCTTTAAGGAAAGCCTGTCACTTTGGCTTATAGTAATTCAAATGACAATAGAGAGGTGGACCTCATTCTGGCTTATATGGACAGACAGAACTAAACTGTACCTACATTCCTTAAAATAGGAGTGATTTGGATCACCCAGTGCTCTTTATGTCTTTCGAATCAACACAGTGACACAGTTCATCACCATTTGAGAGTAAAATATGAGTTGGTGCACAGCAATATAAAAGGATGGAGGACACTAAAGAATAAAGTTGGAATCCTTTCTCACATCCTACCCAACATTAACCTGAAATGAGTTGTAGACTAAATGCCAGAGTTAATAATATAAAACTATCAGAAGAAAATAGAAGTATTAATTTTCATAACCTTATGTTAGGTAAAGCTAAATATTTAAAGCACAAGAAAAAGAAAGAAAAAAAATAGGTAAATTGGACTCAATCAAATGAAAACTTCTGTGCATCAGAGGATATCATCCATAAAATAAAAAGCCACAGAATTGGAAAATTTTTTCTAAATTTTATATAAAAGTAGGCTTGTATGTGAAATATCCAAGAAAGTTACAATTATAAAAAAATAACCAATTTAAAAATGGGAAAAGGGATAGCATCCATTATTTCTCTAAAGACATATACATGGCCAGTAAACACATGAAAAGATGCTCAACATCATTAGCCACTGGAGAAATGCAAATCAAAACCACAGACACAGTGACAAACCACCCAACACTTACTACGACAGCTGTCATCATACAGAAAAAAGAAACAGCTAAGAAGAAGTGCTGTTGAGGATGTGCAGGAAGTGGAAACATCATGCATTGCTGTGGGAAAACAAACTGGTTCAGCCATTCTGAGAAACATGCAGGTAGGACCTAGCTATTGCCCAAGAGAAATAAAAACATACATCCACACAGACTGGTATATAAACGCTTATTGCAGCATAATTCAAGATAAAAAAGAGGAAACAACCCAAATGCTCATCAGCTAATGAATGAATAAACAAAATGCTGTGTGTGTGTATGTATAATACATATAGCTGACTATTATTCAGCCTTAAAAAGCAAGGAGATTCTGACATGAGCTATATAATATAGACAACTCTTAAGAAAATTTGGTTTAGTGCAGGCTGCTTTTGTGAGCCTTCTTAGATATGTCTAACACAGAAATCCAGTGGAAAGCTGGATAAATCTGAAACATGGAGAAAAGAGTAATTGGAGATGCAGTACTGGAGTATTATCTCAGACAGAAGGAGGTTATAGAAGGAAAATGTGTGTGGTAAGAGGAGGAATGACTGAAGACTGAGAATCCCAATAGAGAGGAGGGAATAACACACAACATAAAGAAATGCATGAAACAGCAGAAAAGATATGTCAAAAGGGATCAATGAAGACACAAAATAATTGGTATCACAGAAGGTAAGAGAGTGCAAATTTCACGAAAGCAGGAGTAACCAACTATATCTTAGAATGGGTTTTACACGTGTGGTATAGATAAAAATAGCAGTGAATTAAAAAAATAAATAGGAGGGCACGAATGGGAGATGGTAAAGCCTGCACTTTCACAGAGTTTGGAAATAAAAGTCCTCACTGCTTACAAATCCTGCTTCACGCTAATGTTCATCTTGAAGCCAGCAGATGATGACTCGTACTGGGTCCCTGCCACCCATGGAGGAGACCTGAATGAAGCTGAGGAAGGAGAGAGGACCTAGACTTGCTTTGGCCTAGTCCTCGCTTTTGTAGGCACTTGAAGAGAGAATCAACAAACGGAATCTCTCTGTGCCCCCCTGTATTTCAGCTTTTAAAAAATTTGAAGATAATTTAACTGTTATTGTAAGTAAAGGGTCACGGGTATAAGCTAAAGCTGGAAACTACTGAAGAAAATGCAGGTGAAAATGTAGAAGTATGGAGAATGGAGCAAAATCAGGGGAAAGTGAGAAAGGCTGAATCAAAGCCAGAAGCAGTCAGAGGGAGAGGCCTGACCTTGAATAGGAGGGACAGTTTTTCTTGGTCTAAAGGAAAGAGGTTACAAAAGTTAGTGCATAATGCAGATACCAGGAGGATCAAGTGCTGTCATGATTTGCCAGCTGCATGGGAAGCCAGCCATCAGTTAAGAATGAGGGAGGTAAGGGTTGCAGAGAGAATGAAGGAAGATCCTGACCCATAAAAAGGGTAAGGACACATTGGTGATGGTGAAGACCCAGCTGAGATTAGAAATGCTGATTATGTTTGATTATGATATGGCAAAGATATATAACTAAGATAGCTGAAGTAAGATAAAAAATCAAGATAGACATCTTTTTTATGATCTCAAGTATACATAATAAGATCTTGAACCAATCTTCCATGTGGACACTAATGCTGCACAAGAAGATGCAGGACTCAGCAAGATTGTAATTTAGTAAGGGAGGGACAAGACAGACAGAAGAACAAAGAACACACAATCTGATCTCATGAACCTCAGAGAAGTAGAAACCTTTATAGGCCAGAATGAACTCCTCTTATCCTGAGAGCAGGAGCGGTGACTTTTACCCCTTTGATCCTCAGCCTCTAACACAGCATTTACAGTCCCAAACGCAGATGCACTACATGAACAAATAATGTCAACATTTTAAAATGTGGTATCTGTATACATAACTATGTCTATTTTATATATTCAAAATATCTATAATTATATTACACCTGTATCTAACAGTTATTACTATTAATCTGAGGATCAGTTTTAAGGGATTTTTATATTAAACAACAGAAATTGAATGCACCAAACACAAGTTAAATGATAATTTAAAATCCAAACATTTTAAAAAGAGAGTTATTTTTGCTCAAAGCTTTTCATTTCCTAAGCAAAAGGACTGTGTCCTTTAGCAGTCTATTATCAACTGTCTTGTGTTAGAGATAATTAATTAGGTTAATAAGTTGGGGAAGCGACAATAGTACCTCACAATGAACATAAGCCAATTGAGTCACTCAACCATTGAATTTGGTGAGAGGTATAATTTCATCTTATTGCCTACAAAGGAGCAGCTTAGGATCAATATAGGCTGAGTTGACACTCCGGTTCACTAGGCATCTCAAGCACTCAGAGCAAATATTTAAGCACCTTCCCCTTTAGCCAGGTGTCTTGCCTGAATGCTTAGAGCGGACAGGGTGAGACTTGTTCCTAGGTTTTAGGCACTGCAGGGTTAGAAGGGGAAGGGAAACAGATGCAGAGCAGACAGCATGCACACTGAGCCTGGATCTGAAGAGCAAGCCAATGTCAAATCCTGTGTTTATGTGGCACGAATTTTGCTTAAACAAATGACAGGGAGATTCTCTGCATCCGGCACCATTATGTGCAGCCTCTCTGCACCTGGCTCCCAGAGAGGCCTTTCCTTATCTTAGGATTTAGATTTCATGAGGGAGAACAGTGGCTGTTAAAGGGATAATTAGAAAGCCTGAGAATTTTCCCTCTAAAAGAGAACTTTAATCATCTAATGCCATCTTTCCCATTTCATAATATTATTTTTTAACAGCTTAGATAAGATGACCTTATCTAATCACATCTTCAGTGAGAAAACTAGGATGAGATTGCTCAGCTTCATGATAACTTTCAAAGGATGAAACATAAAATCCTTCATGTTACAAATATCAGGCCAAACTATAATACTTCTTCTAGTGCTTACCAGATACGTGGGCATAAAAATAGCAGCACATGGAATGAGAACTGTAAGTAACTTACAAACACTCAGATATTTACTCTGTATAGTATCCAAAATAACATTGATAACTAGTTAGCATGAGGGTTTTGTATAAATTGTTCTGCTATATTGTTTTCATCTTGGCAGTCTTATGAAGTTCCAAATAGCATCTGCCATCCTAAAGCAAACATGAATCGATTTTTCTCATAAGATGACTTAGTCTTGGAGATACAAAGTAGCAGTGTGCTCTTTTGGTTAAGAAAGATCTACTTCTAAATGTGGATTTTTGGTGCACTGGTTAAGTCTCTAATTGGGACCCCCACATACCATGTCAAAGGGTCTAACTTGAGTTCTAGCTCTTTCATTTCTGATCCAGGCTCCTTTTAACTTACTTCCTGAGGAGGCCGCGGTTGATGGCTCAAGGAGTTGGGAACCTGCCAAATATTTGGGAAACAGATTGAGCTCCAGGCTCAACTTTGGCCTGACCAGCCCTGTCTGTTGAGGACAAGTGGAGAGTGAGTCAACAGATAGAAGACACCTCTATCTCTCTTGCTATCTATCAAACACGAGGAAAACAAGTTTTAAAACTTTCACAAAAAAAGATCTTTTAGTTTTCCTTTTGCCACAAAGTTTCAAATTTTAAAATGAAACTTGAAATATCATTAACTTTAGATTCTGATTTTTTCTCCCTACTGCTTCCCTTAAAAGAAACACTCAGTAGCATATAAACATTCTGGAGATACAAACATGCGAGTAGCTATTACAACTACTGTAAATCAGTAACTAGCATTTAAGTTAGGATTATTAAAGTCAAGTGTAACAGCCTCACACCCTAACCCTCACAAGATAAAACCCTCATGCCTCGTGGGTAGAGCGGCATAGTTACCTGGAGGTGCTCAATCTTGCTGTGACTGATGTAGAGCCTCTTGGTGCTGGGAGGAATGGCTGACGGCACCTCCGTTAGTCTGTAGCATTGTACCGACTGCATAGAGTCACAGCTGCATCTTCCAGGACAGCGAAGACTGGCTCCCTCACAAAGAGAGAGCACAGCCAGTAAAGCACAGAGCAGATGCATCTTCCCAAACAGGACTCTCAGGTACATGTCTCGCTCTTTATATCACCAAATCTGATCACAGAATCTTACGAATGTGTACTCAGTCAATGCAAGAAGACAGGAAAGAAAAAAATTCTCAGTTTGTCTGGGTTAAAATGCTGGCAATCATTACAAAGAGGAAGGGGCTTAAACATTGATAAGCTGCCTTAATATTTGTGAGTGAGCAAAACCTCATGTTATTTATGGCTTGGGAGGCTAATCTGCAAACACCTGTACTATCTGTGCTTTCCTTGTTTTGTTAAATGTGACACCGGGGAATTAGTGGGGAAAGACAAAGAGCTGATTTATAGTGGGCCATAAAGTGTTTGGATTTTCAGTGACCTTATATTAAAACCTTTTGTGCGGATTGAAGCTGGCAGGTGTTTTCTTCTCACATTCACTAGGAAGGGAAAATAGAGAGATTTTCTAATTGCCATTGTTGCGGTGATAACATTTTATTGCTGATGAGACAATGGGAGTTTACTGAAGAGACCTGAAAGAACAAATAATTTGTTCATGTATCACCTGATCCACTCACACATCATATTCAGAAAATATTAGTCATTAAAAAATACTGGTGTCTCAAATGGGAACAAAGCATTGAAATGGGTCAGTTATCTTCTGGTCGAAAGGGCCTGCAGCTTCTTCAGGGGAATTTGTCAGTGGTAAAATCTCACCCCAGGCCTGGGATGCTCCTTTCTGTTTCTGAACATCCCTGCTGAGCATCTTAAGCGAAGGCCTATTTAGAAGACTCCACAAGGGAAGAACTACATGTCCTCACATGCTGGCAGGCCTCCGCAGATTCCTCTAAAGAAAAGTCTTTTTAATCTTGAAAAGTTTCCCTCATCTTTTCTTATTTTCCTTTTCTTTGCTACAATTTTCTTTCAAAGACAGAAGTTACTTTGATTTAGTAATCAATTTGCTGTATTTCCAGAGTAAGGATTTTTGTGTGCTTTTTCTGAGACTTTTTGATCCTCCTATTCTCATTGTTTTTGCTCTAGTCCAGGAGTGATAAACATGTATTTTCTGTCAATATTCTTTCAGCAAACTTCATTATTTATATCTTTAATTAGTAACAGAATGCTTTAATATTTTGAATTATCAAATGTTAAAGTAATGATCAATAAGAGAAAATTGGGGAAAGATAATGAGATAAAAATCCTTTTACTTCTGTCCCAAAGGCAAACATTATATTTCCAGTTTCATTCATATTCAGACTTTGAAAAGGTAAGAGAGATATTTATTCAATGTTTTTTCCTATGTAGCTAAAAAGATAGCTTCATAGTCAGTTGAAATCAATGCCTACAACATTTTATATTCTTATTTGCCATCAGACAGTACATTTTTTGATATATAGCATACTAATGAGTTGCATTTTATGTCTTTTGCTGGTGGCCACAAAATTCCTTTGTTGCAAGCTTTAAAAATTATACTGTATGACTTTTTATGGTTTTTATAGCTTTACGGCCATTATGACATTATCTCTATTTTTTACCATGAAGTTTTATGTTCTCAGGTTGTAGATATACTCATATGTAAGTTCATATGTTACTCTTCATTATTATTAATTTTATTATTTTCACTATTTAAAATTTATTATTAATCACCAATGCATTAATAATAAACACAATAAATTGTTAAATTTATTATTAAATGTCCATTTAATAAAACCCATAAATAAAAATTTGAATATCTAATTAGCAGTCCATCAATAGTGTTGTCAACAATTTAAGTATCTTCTAAGTATTAGACTTTTAGATTGTTTCTAGCTCTCCCATTATAAACGTAAATAATTCTGACCCCTAAAAGCTTGAGAATGTTTTAACAGATAATAGAGCTGTTGCTCCAGAACATATCTATTTATTTAGTCTAAGCCAAGGTAGAGGATTGAATCTTATTGATTCTATGAATTATGGGGAAAGTAAGGCACAAAGTCAGAACCCGGATGCTACAAGGGCATGTGTGTTCCACTGGCCCCACTGTGGAGGTGACAGGGTCCTGAGGATATTGACTGTGCCAGGAAGCAGCCAGATGAGCTGCCGCCATCGCTTTACTCTCTTGTGACCTTTGGAGTTTTCACAGGCTCTCCGTGGGTATAAAGTTCAGGTTTTTAGCTCTTCAGCTTGTGGGTCTCGTAAGGTTAAATGTGAGGCATGCAGTTCTCTTCACCAAAGGATTTAACACTTTATCTGATCACTGACACTTCTTTGGGTCAGGAGAAGCCAACAAAAACAAAATGGGAGCCTTTCCAAGGAAGAAAAAATCAATAACACAGAAACTCCGTTCAAAACAAAGCTTGGAATCTAGGTTTAGTTTTCAACCCTTTGCGTTTACTGCAGGGTTTCTGAACAATGGCATCACTGACAGACAGCCCACAGGATTCTCTGTTGTGGGGGCTGTCCTGTGCACTGTAGTGTGCTCCGCAGCATTCCTGAACACCACTCAACACAGGACAGAATCCCCCTCACATTGCCACAGCAATCAAAAATGTTTCCGAAAAATAAAGATCAAAAAGAAAAAGAAAGGAAGTCAGGAAGACTACTGGTCTGAGAATCTAGGCAAAGAATCTAATCCAATCCAAATCCAAAATCAAGGTCTATCATTGAGATTGCTTCTATCAAATGGTTGTTGATTTGATTTAATAAAACCAAAAAGCAAAAATAAATTGGCCTAAACTTAAAATTACCTAGTATTTTGTAAGTACCATCTAAGGAGCAATTTCCGCAGAAGGCATGTCAGAGGCTAAATAAAACTTCAGGAATTTCTTTCTAAGGAGTATTCCTTTTGTGGTTACAAGGAGGATTGAAGTTTGTTTTCAGAAGGTTTATGAATATTTTTAGTTTCATAGGATGTTAGCACTAGAAAGAATGGTACAGATAACTTAGTCAAGAACTTCTTCTTTGGTATAGATAGGAAACTAAATCTGCTAAATAAAACTGACTTATTTGTATTCTCCCTGACACAGGAGTAGATGCTTCCAATTTTCAGTCTACTATAAAATCAATCAGCAAAAAGGTAAGAATGCTTTTACAAACAAAAACCTCTCCCTCAGATAAAATAAAATAAATGTTAGTGATTAATATTTTGTGTATATAATTCCTTTCAAATTCACTTGCTTCTTCTGGAGCACGTTACATCAAGAGCATAAACTGCAATTAAAAGCAATAATAAAAATGGGCATTAGAGGGCAAAAAAAAAAAAAGATCATAAACTGAAAGTAAATCAGAAAAGTAAATTCTACTCCTTGTTCTTAGTAAGCCTCATTTCCCCTCAATGGAACAAAACTACAATGGGATAAATAATTTTCACTTTATAGAAAGAAACAGGTAAACTAAACTAAGGGTTTAAAAATTTGGTTCTCAAGACATGGTAGTTTCAGATGATTTGGGTTATTCGTCATGAGTCATGAAATAAATTTGGGTTGCTTTGGAGAGGAATTAGTGAAAGAAAATTGTGAAAAACCTGGAGAAGCAGATTGAAAAACGGACAAGAATAAGGGAAGGGTGCATGGCCAGTCACAGGGAACCACACCATGCTGCCACCAGAGCAGAGCAAGCGTTTCCTGGTCTTTACCATGATCCAAAGATCAGATGCCACTGCTGTCAGGCCTGCTCCTGGAACAGGTTGCTGCTATGTCTACTCCTTAACAAACAGAAATGTCCCCACCCCTGAGCCACCAGCTCCACCTGAAAATTTCAAATGAACAGCTGATTCTAGATGGTTTATCTGTTTTCTCATTGTCCTACAGCTGGGAAAGTAATTTTAAGAGTTTCAATTCAGAACCTGGTATGATGGCTAAATCCTCCTTTACAAGCAGCGGGATGCCATATGGGTACAGGTTCTTGTACCAGCAGTTCCACTTCCCATTCTGCTCCCTGCTGGTGGACTGGGAAAGCAGGAGAGAACAGCCCAAGACCCAGAGGAAGCTCCTAACTCCTTGCTTCCGATTGGCTCAGCTCCCACACTGCCACTTGGAGAGTGAACCAGCAGACAGAAGATGTTTCTCTGTCTCTCCTTCTCTCTGTAAATCTGCCTTTCTAATAAAAATTAGTAACAAAAACAAAAAGACTTTCAGTTCATTGTGGAAGGATTACTGTCTCCCATCGGTCATATAATGCAGTCTTCCACTTATAGTGACAAATTTTTCACTACAGAAATCTTTTTATACACTCCCTCTGTTCATCATATAATCATGAACACAAAATAAATGAGTGTTGAATGAATTACAGTCAACTGGTGACAAAACAAATATGAGCATGTGTTCTGAGATAACTTTTTGTGTTATTGCTTCAACTGTATTTTTTGACTTGATGAGAAGACCATGAAAATTCTAATTAGATTATTGGAAATATTCTTGTGCAAATCTAAAAATGCTAAATCTAAAATCTAAAAAAAAAAGTTTAGTTCAAAAGCAAAGGAAAGATAATTAACATTGAAGGATGCGTGGAATGCACTTACAGAACTAATCTCTAAGCCTACGTGACATGTTCGGCCTGTAAAGTCTGACAACTTTAGAAGCAAACACTGAGCTGACAGTGAATAAAGGAGGAGGAATCAATGGCTAGTCAAGTTGATAAATGGTGGCTGTAGATAACCTAAGCTGGAGCTGTGGGAAAGGGGAAGGGGAAAACATGGTTCAGGTGACAGTGGGTAAGGCAGTGATAGCCTTTGATAGTGTAAAAAATATACAAATATAGCAACAGAGACCAAAAAAGAAAAGTGGTTTGGTTTGGTTTTGTTTTCAGGTTGGGGTATTCCATACAAAATGTGGTCGTAAATGAATTTTATGCAACAGATAAAATAATTCTTGTGGCCAAAGTATGATGGACCTGTTAGTCAAATAAGTGATATAATTGTTAAATAAGTCTTTCTCTTGAGATTAGGAAAACACTTCCTGAATTTCAAATATTATTATGTGTTCCACGCATCTAGTTAACCTGTCTATCCTCTCTAGTTTGTGTCAATGCTAAGTTTTTGACAAAGGTTTCTAGAATTTCCTATGTAGAATATTATTAGGGTTATTCCACAAATAGAGCATTCCTATCATACTCTAGGTCTTGTGTTAGTACTTCAAATTCAGAGATAAGCAAGACAAAGTATTTGCTGCCAAGAGGCTCAAGCTAGAGAGCTCCAAAAGAATATTAGCACAAGTATTAGAACATATATTTGCAAGAAACTAAACAGGGTTGGCATTGTAATGTCACACAAAAAAGAAAGGCATGATGGCAGAAGAGGCATCTGAGCTAAGCCTAAGTCATTATACCAAACTTTTCATGTTAGAGTAATAAGGCAAGTAAGTAGTTGTTCTATTTGAGCATACTGATGGAAATACTTTGAAATGCTAATTCTTGCTTGCTTACATGTCAACTTGAAAATTTTAACATGGTAAATATGAATGACACATACAAGAAGTATAAACAATACATTTGAATACAACAGTCTAAGGCTTTCAGACATTGCACAAGTGAAACGTTACTGGATTTACCCTGACTTCATCCATCATGCAAACTGTTTACAGCGACGGACAGCTTTTCCTTATGGGGTTAAATGAAACAAGTGCAGCTTAGCAGAGGACCTGGAACCCATTACAGTTTAATAATGAATGTCACCCTCTTTAATCCAAAGTGGCCTTACATGTGCTTTGCAGTTACTAATGTTCTGTCAATATTTGAACTCTACACTGTCCTCATAGCTAATTGCCAGTGCTTACCAAAGAAATCCATAATGCCTTTTTTCTTCGTTCATTTCCTCAATCCGATCTGCACCCTGTTTATTCTTAGTAATACCTTATGGCAAAATTCTGCAGGAGTGAGTTCCTGAAACAAAACTGTAAACACTTAAATCACACAAATTGCTTTAAATCACATAACAATGTTGATTAAAAGATTATGGAAACTTGCTACTATTTCAGATGCAAATAGAACAATTACATTATCTATGTAAAAAAAGGCCCACAAGTATTGTGATTCTATACCATTTCAGGTTCCCTAGCAGGCAAAACAATCTGTGTAGAGAGAGTACACCGACAACAGATGGCAGCACTTGAACAGCAAGCCTTCCTTATTCCCATGTTCTGCTGTGATTTCCAATCACTGCTGGTAAGATTATGTCTAAACAAACAAAAAAAGATTATGTCTACAGACAAGGTACCCTCTAACCATGAGCAATAGTCACTTAGTACCAAAGAGGAAAACCCGTGGGAATACGGCTGCTGCCATGCTGTATAATGAAAAGGGACAATATGACATGAAAGTATTCTGACACAAAAAGATACGACTTGTTAGAGTTGCAAAGGTTAAAGCAAAAGTGGAGTTGGGTTTAGCAATTCTGAAAATAGTTATTCTTCCACAATAAGATTCCTGGATACTTATAGACACTTAAAATTCAGTGTAGCTGTGTTCACACAATGTATCAGCAATTGATATAAAATGAAATTTAAGTGTACTCTATAGAAACTAAGAAAATTTATAATGTAAAAGTGTTACAATTATTTTTCAGAAACACATATATTTCTTACATGTTCACAGATTTGTATGTAGTTTATGACTGATAATACATTTTTAAAAAGATTTATTTATTTCACAGGCCTGACACAATGGCTCAATTGGCTTATCTTTCACCTTGTATGCACTGGCATCCCATATGGGCACTGCTTCATGTCCTGGCTTCTCTACTTCCCATCCAGCTCCCTGCTTGTGGCCTGGAGAAATAGCAGAGGATGGCCCAAAGCTTTGGGAACCTGCACCCACGTGGGAAACCCAGAGGAGGAACCTGGCTCCTGACTTTGGATTGGCTCAGCTCTAGCCATTGCGGCCACTTGGGGAATGAAGCAGTGGATGGAAGATCTTTCCGTCTTTCTTCCTCTCTGTAAATCTGCTTCTCCAATAAAAATAAATCTTTTTTTAAAAAAATCCTTTCTTTCTTAAAAACGATTTATTTAATTCTTTTAAAAGGCAGATTGATGGAGTGAGAAAACAGACAGGAGAGATCTTCCATTCTCTGGTTTACTGCCCACATGATTGTAATGGCCAGAGCTGGACTGATGCAATCCAGGAACCAGGAGCCTCTTCTGGGTTTCCCACATGGGTAAATGAGTCTAATATCTGGGGCCATCCTTTGCTGTTTTCCCAGACCATTAGCAGGGAGATGGATCAGAAGCAGAGTAGCAGGGACTTGAACCAGTGTCCACATAGATGCTGGTATCATAAGCAGAGGTTAGCTTGCTATACCAGAGCACTGGCCCAGGAACTTTTAAAAAATATTTTGGAATGACTTGATAATTTATGACCCTACTTACTTGCATGAGGAGGAATGAATTCTTGCATCCTTTATATCCCAAGATCACTGGCACAGCCTTTCGAGAAACGGACACGTAGGCTGTTTAGTGACTCGTGCATTACAAACTGATTACATCTACTTCATAGGCTTTTGTGAGGATCAAATAAGTAAAGCAAATGGCAATGTGACCAACATTATACTCGATAATGGAAAGCTATTTTTCTTATGATTCTACTGTACTCCCCTTCCGCAGGCATAAATTTTAAATCATTCAAACACCTGCAAACGTATTGTTAACTAAATTACGTGCAGAAAAGGTGCCTTAGAAATGATATCTGGAGCAATGATATTCCTGAAAATATTGCAGACGAAAATAATCGTTGGAAGGGAAAATGGAAAAGATGCACATTTTACTTTCACATGAACATGTGTTAAAACTTATGTGCAGGTTCCTGTTTTAGCTCATGACAAGGATTTCATGATTAATTTCGCTTAGCAAGTTTACTGATGAACTTGTGGCTTGATGCTAACCAGTCTTCCTAGAGTACAAATTAAAGGTGTAATTTCTTGCTCTTCACTGCTGTTAGGTTGGTGTAGGGTATACAATCCAGACTTAGGGCGTCCAGACTTAGGTTCTGTCTCAAAGTCAGGCAACAGAAAACTCTATGCTCAGTGAAATGTCCCTTTACGCAGTTTAGGAGGGAGAGAAAGAGCTCCTAACCAGCCTGCTTCTCGTCCTACTACTTTCTCCTTTCCTTTGCAGAACTGGCTTACTTGAAGTGGCAGAAATGTGAGGGTGGGTAGGTACAATGTAAAGTTGGCCAATACTCCTAGGCATACTCCAAGATCTAAAACAAAGTTCCAACGGTGAGATTACCCTCATTAGCCGATGCTCTCAACTTGAGTGAGTGAGGATTATGTTTTGTTTTGTTTTTTTTTTAAAGCTTTATTTTTATTATTTTTTTTATTGGAAAGGTGGATATACAGAGAGGAGAGACAGAGAGGAAGAACCGGTGCCCATATGGGATCCTGGGTGTACAAGGCGAGGACTTAACCACTTGCGCCACCGCGCTGGGCCGTTTTGTTTTTTAATAGTAACTTATTTGAAAGGCAGAGAGAGAGAAACAGATTTTCCATCTGCTGGATCACTTTTCAGAGTGACAACAAGTGGGGCTGGGCCAGGCAGAAGCCAGGAGTCTTTAACTCCATCCGAGTCTCTTAAATGGGGAGCAGATCCTCTGTACATGGATCTTACTCTGCTTCTTTTCCAGGCCCTTCAGTAAGAAGCTGGGTTGAAAGTGGAGCAGCTTGGCTTAGAAATGGTCATCATTGTAAGTCTTGGCACTACCCACTATGCCTCAACACCAACCTTACCATCTGTAGTCCCTGTGTCTGTTACAATACCAAATTTGGGTCTGAGCTGCTCTATGCTGAACTGGCAGATACACCAGTGGCAAGAGTTGATACATTGACACAGTAGGTTTACTAGTGGCCACACAGAGACTCCCTCAAAATGTGCTCTCCCTCCATTTACAAGCTGGCAAGATGCCTTCTAAAGGACAATGGGTATGCGGGGTACGGGACGCAAAGAGGAAGACAATGAGCCTTAAAATCCTTAAGAAACTAGTGTAAGTCACAGACTAGCCACAGGAGAATGCACAAGACTAGTGATTAGCTTTTGTGAATAAAAATATGTCAAGAGGGGAAGGGAAGATGAATTTGTCAAAGTTACATGTCCTCAATGCCTCACCAGGTCTCTGTGCTAAATCGATTTAGGAATACATGAATCTTGATAATTTTGTTTCTGAGATGTTGTATGAGGGGATAATATACCAGTGTTTTTTTTTTTTAAAGTAATTCCAGGTTTTAAAGTAGTTGTTTTCGAAATGTGTTTTCAGCAGTGTGGTAAGTGGTATACCATGTGGCAAGCAATGTCACAGCCATAAATTATAGAAGGCACTCATCTGTGTCGCAAAATAATGACAAAATCAGTGAGCAGAGGTGACAGCCGGCTATCCAGGACAGAATCTAAGTTCATCTTTAAATGTAGCTTAAAAAAAAATCACAGAGCGTAACAGAAGCTTAATCTAGGGACGAACAGCTCTTTACAAATAGGAAACCTTTTCTGGAGAGTCAATTATTATTAAACGTCCAGAGTTGGCTTAAAAGCAACTCCTGACTGAATGAATTTCGGAAAGCAGGAATCAAGGTTGAGTAAGTACAACTGAGGTGGAACAGCTAGTTTGCGACAGGGTGTACTCCTTGAGGCCAGGCCAACCTGGTAACCACAGGACAAACACAACCTGGTTAGCCGCTCAACCTGCAGCTTTGGGCAGCTCCTACCTGGAATTTAGGGTGTCCACCCCCTCCAGTCTCTCCAGAAGCGGGAATGCGCATGCTCTCCCCGCCCCGTCTCAGCACGCCGCTGCAGCCACTTTCCAGAACGGTCCCCACCCTCTGTGTACCCAGACTAGCGGAAACCATTCTTTTCTGCGACGTGGACACCCGTCTCTTCTTCAGAGCTTTCCAGTTGGAAGGCTGACACACCACGCAACCGCGCTTCAAGACACGTTTGCCAGTTGTCAATATGGCTGCGGGAGGCCTCTCATAGGCCAAGGTCGCGTCCTGGCCACGCCCACCCCGGGCCTGCGGGTTGCGCATGCGCGGCGGGGGCTGGCCGGGAGGTGGGACCGTGCTGGTCTTCCGTGTGGCACTGCAGGCGCCCCGTCCTCTCCACTGCCGCCGCTCCGGGCTGCTGGCACTCCGGGCTGCGGCGCCGGCGTTGGCGGCTCGAGGGCAAGGGCGGGGAGCGCCGGGGCGCGCGCGCGCGCGGGGGTCCCCGCAGGCCCAGCAGTTCCCCTCGAGCCGAGTGGGCGGCCAGACTGAGCAGCAGCAGTCCGAGGGAGGCCCTGGACGGCGCCATGTCGGCCGGCGGCCCGTGCCCGGCAGGAGCCGGAGGGGGCCCCGGGGCCGCGTCCTGCGCCGTGGGGGTCTCCTCTGGCGGGGTGTCCATGTTCCGCTGGTTAGAAGTGCTAGAGAAGGAATTCGACAAGGCCTTCGTGGATGTGGACCTGCTTCTGGGCGAGATCGACCCGGACCAGGCGGACATCACTTACGAGGGACGGCAGAAGATGACCAGCCTGAGTTCCTGCTTTGCGCAGCTTTGCCACAAAGCTCAGACCGTGTCCCAAATCAACCACAAGCTAGAGGTGAGCTGTGGGCGCTGGCCCTCGTGGCATTCAACCCCTCGTTGCCCAGCGGCGTCAGAGTCCATTCACGTACTAGGAAACTGCCCACTGGGGGCATCTGGGCTTGGGATGTGATGGGAGAGTGCCTGGCGGGGACGGAGCAGGGAGCGAGAGATGCCGGTCCCCCGGGGTGCTGTCATTCACCAGAGACGGGGAACGGGACATCGTCTCCCTTAAGATCCTGAGTCAGGAATCCTTTAGCTCCCGTTTTCACAGCAGCTCTGGCTGCTTTGCCATTTGCTAAAGCAGATTAGTGTATTTCCAGGCAGTCACAGTCCTGATTATTTTCGGTTTCGACATTCCAGGTAGGCATGCGTGGACTGTCTAGGGGGGATTTGATCCAACGGCTTGGGGAAATTTTGTGGAGTATTCCCATGGACCATAATATCTTTCTCTCTCAGATTACATTCATGGTTTGTCCTTAGATTACAGGCACCTACCTCCAGAGCCTGTTGAAGTTATTCAAATGACTTGTAACATTGAGGTTGATGGCTTTGTACCCTGAAGTCTGTATTTATTTCGAAAGTGTATTGAGACTTATTATTTCATCGAGTCTCCAATCCTGGTTGTGGATGTCAGTGGAGTGGTGGTAATCCCCTCCCCCCAGTGAAACCCAAACATACAAAATAAGCTGTAATGGTGTCTACAAAATTAAATTAGGGCATCCTCACAATATTTAGAAAGTGCAGTAAGTTAGTGTGGTTAGATAAAAAGCACGGTGTAACCAAGCAATTTAAACAAGGGATGTCTTTAAATTTTGGAGGGTATAGAAACGGGATAACGAGTGATGTGCAAAGCTCCTTGAATACTAGCTTTCCTAGGAAATCTCCTTGTTAGCTGTGATGCTTCATGAGACCTCATTGTATCCAAATCCATAGGAGGATCACCAGTGGGTGCTTTCTGAGCTCAGTGCTGAGTGTTTTCTGCTTGTCTCAGCTAAGCAGGGGAAATGTGATGGATCAGGCTTTGATTGCCATGGGCTTCCATCCCCAAGACTATGCCTCTTCTTCCATGAGAGGACTGCTGGTCTGTTCCACGCTCTGTGAGAAGGTTGCTCACGGTAAATGTGCTGATTGTACAGTGTTTCTTGATTTCTTTAGGAGTGGTAATTCCTACCAGATATGTATTGTATGTGATAGGTAATAGAAATAGTGACTTTAAGCAATAAAGATCAAGAGTAGCCTTTGCGAAATGAGAATTTTCATGTTATTTGCAGCCACAAGTATCTACTGGAGATAAATTGGCTTTGTAAAAGTGAAACATTGTCTAATATATTTTTTAAACAAGCTAAGGAAACTGAGGTTTCTTTTTTTTTTATAGAAAGTCAGATACAAAGTCTAATTTTGGAGAAAGGTCATTCTGTGAGTAAGAGGGAGGTGTCCAGTGCTTTTTTTTTCATCTTGAAATATTTAAGGTGAGTGCTCAGGGTTTTAATAAATTATGCATATTCCTTTTTTTTTTTTTTTAGAAATTGTAATAACATATTCTGACTGCACTTCCTGGCCTACTATTATCTCACCCAACATGAAGTGCTACCGTCTCAGAGTGTGAGCATGTTTTTGTCTGCAAGTTTGAAACTCGTGATTTAAAGGTTTTAGAAAAGGAAGAGGGAGAGGCGCAGCTGACTGTGCTGCTGCTGTATCAGTTACTTTAGACTCTGCTGCCTTTGGTGCTAATTTTTACACAGTTAGCAGCTTCTGCGGTTTCCATGGAATCAGTTGGATATTGCTGGAGACAGGTTCCTTGTCGGCAGTGCCTTGCAAAGCAGCCCTGCTGCTGAGCCATCTGCTGAATTTTACGGATTGTTCTGTAAATTTCTTAGTCTGAGATTTTGGAATCTGAGAAAAGCCTTCCATACTTTTTTGCTTTACTACACCTCTTAACAAGCCAATTGACGTACATTGAAATGAAGACAATGTTTGGATTTGAGTATGGTTTGATATAACAGGTACACTCTAACTTCAATTATTTTTAGAGATTAATATTTAAAAATATGTCTGTAGTGCCCGGCGGTATGACCTGGCAGCTGAGGTTTTCGACTTGAGCGTGCTGGGATCCCATGTGGGCGCTTGTTCTGGTCCTGGTGGCTCTACTTCCCATCCAGCTCCCTGCTTGTGGCCTGGGAGGGCAGTCAAGGATGGCCCAAAGCCTTGGGACCCTGCACCCATGTGGGAGACCTGGAGATTGCTGGCTCCCGGCTCCGGATCGGCACAGCACTGGCCATTGCGCTCACTTTGGGAGTGGATCGTCAGACAGAGGATCTTCCTCTCTCTCCTCCTCTCTATATATATCTGACTTTGTAATAAAAATAATAAAATAAATCTTAAAAAAATATGTCTGTAAAGACACAGATACCTCCAATGAGTATTTGAACTTGTTTTAAATGTCCAACTAATTTGCCATTTCTGCCAAGTCCTGTCTTTTCTTTCCTTTTTTTTTTTTTTAAGAGTTATTCATTTTTTTATTGGAAAGGCAGATATACAGAGAGGAAGAGAGACCGAGCGGAAGATCTTCCATCTGATGATTCACTCCCCAAATGACTGCAAAGGCCAGAGCTGCACCAATCTGAAGCCAGGATCCTGGAACCTGCTCCAGGCCTCCCACATGGGTGCAGGGTCCCAAGGCTTTGGGCTGTCCAACTGCTTTTCCAGCATAGAAGCAGGGAGCTTGACGCTAAGTAGAGCTGCCGGGATTAGAACCAGTGCCCAGATTGGATCCTGGTGTGTTCAAAGTGAGGAGTTTAGCCACTAGGCTACTGCGCCAGGCCCTTTTCTTCCTTTTTTTTTTAATGAAGCAGAAAATAATTTTTTAGCGTTTTATTTGAGCATAGTTTTTAAGTTTACAAAGCAAAAATTAGGATATATTAGAGTTCCCATATACCCTACAACCAGGTTGTCCTGTCAATATGTATTTGTTACAATTAATAAACCATACCTGGCAGTGTGTTTAGGAAAAACAATGTCATTTTTAATATACATATATATGATATTTATATATAAATATAATTGTTTTGAAATTAAAAGTAATAGGCCACTGAATTTGTAGGTCCCACATCTACTGATTCAACCAACTGCAGACTAAAAATATTTTTTAATAAATTACTTCTTCACAGAACATATACAGAGTTTTTTTCTTGTTATCCTCTGAAGAATACAACGTAACAGCTATTTATATAACATTTATATTATGTTAGATATTATAGCTAATCTGAAGATGATTTGTATTAAACAGAAGAAAGCATAGAGGAGTTTGGTATCGGTGTGTGAGGTTCCTGAGATCTACTCCCCTCATAGAACTGAGGGACAAGTGTAAAAATGCCATCTGTTTGATTGCTTCTTGCCATAAATTGTATTTGGGGAGAGACGTGACTGTGAAGAGGAAGGCATGGCAGAGACGATTCGAGTAGGTTGTGGCGGGGCCTTTTTTAAAGGTACTTGTGTTGCATTCTTCCCACCTGTTTGGGAATTCCTGTTGTGATCAACTGGGTGACAGCTGTACTCGAAATATAGATACTTGTCGCAATAGCCATAGAGCTAACAGTAGTAGGTATATTGGATTAGAGCACAAGTTGTGAACAGTAGTGTAGGAAAATTGCCTTCTGCCTTAAAATACAATTTTCTGCCTGTTCCTTAACATGAGAACAAAGCAATTTCGCTTCTATCGAATTCTTCTTTTCCTTAGCAGTTACTACATTAGCACCTCTATAAGGTCTTTTACTTTTCACAAGTGTCATTAGGGAAACTGGTCTGGCGACACACTGATTATGACCTAATGCTGATTTCTCTATGCTGTTACAAATCTGTATTATTTTTATTTATATATTTTTTAAAAGATTTATTTATTTTTATGGGAAAGTGAGATATATATAGAGGAGGAGAGACAGAGAGGAAGATCTTCCATCCGATGATTCGCTCCCAAAGTGTGTGCAATAGCCGGTGCTGTGCCGATCCGGAGCCGGGAGCCAGGAACCTCCTCCAGGTCTCCCATGTGGGTGCAGGGTCCCAAGGCTTTGGGCCGTCCTTGACTGCTTTCCCAGGCCACAAGCAGGGAGCTGGATGGGAAGTGGAGCTGCCAGGATTAGAACCTGCACGCATTTGGGATCCTAGCACGTTCAGGGCAAGGACTTTAGCTGCTAGGCCATGCTGCCGGGCCCTGTGTTATTTTTGAACAGACTGTTTTTCAAACAGTGAAGTTAAAATCTAGTATTGATCCAGTATATGGTGTATTGGGCACATGAGATACCATGGAATGCAAAAAAGGACATAGTCCTTGCTGTAAAAAGGAACTTGGATTCGGCTTGGGGGATTTGGTAGGGAAATAATGATGTAAATAAATCATAACCTTGATGAATGCTACTAAAGGTGCATCAGTAATGAGGGTCTCTTCTCGGGTGTCAAGGAAGGCTTCTCTGAGGAAGTTACACTGAACTAACAGGAACATCGTCTGTTCCCTGTACTCCGAGGGACTGGAACAGGGAGAGCACATGTGGTGCACAGAAGCTTGGAGTGTTGGAAGCACCGGAGGATGTTGGGAGGTATTTTGAGAGCAGAGAGCAAAAGCCTTGAATTCTAGATAATTGTGAGCAAGTGAGTCGGGATCAAAACTGTGCAGTTATGTAGAAGATGTGTTAGCTTTGAGGCTTTATCCTAACAATGGAAAGCATCTTAAACTAGTTAACCTGAGATATGTGGTTGGATTAATATACTTTGTCTATGTCAGAGAGAGAAAATGTCATAGTAGCAAGAACAAATGCAGAAATTATTTAGGAGGTTTTTGTGATCTGTGTGATATAATAGTGTGAAGTAAAGGTATAGAGATGAGGAATGTGTTCAGAAGAAGAGAGTCGTGAGACATAAAAATTAGCAAAATGTAGGTTTGGAGAAGGAAAGTCAGGAGAGCTAGAAGGGGTCAGTCTTGACGTCAGGATAGGTGGATGAACACAAGATGCTGTTACTGGCATT